TATATTTGCTGACACTTTATTTAAACTAAATTTGTGTATCAAAGCATGACCTCTGAGATGCCATAAATAAAATGGTTTTTTAATTGCTTACAATCCTCCAATCTTGCTTCTTTCTGTTAACATTTTTTTTAAGTCTCCACGTATGAGAATTGAATATTATTTTTATATAAGGTATGTGGACAATATAATATAGGGCATAATACACTAAATTAAAATAAAACCATCATAAAATCACCGTGATATGGAGCCATACAGTTGCAATGGGATAGATGATAGAATTCACAACTGAAAATAATTTAGGTAAGAGCACCTATGTAGGAAGGGTTTGGGATGAAACTAACATTTTTTATTAGTGGTTATTAGTGTATAGGTAATCCTCAACTTAAAACCCTAACGGAGCCTGTCCATTATGGTTTCAAGACTTGACGGTCATCTCATATTGGGGAACAGCCTTCTGCTCTGCTGAATGGCCACAAGATTATTCCGTAGCAGACCCTGATCCTGGGTTATTCTTTGCAGTAAAGTGCCCCTAGAATTAAACTTTCCATAATGCTGAAAAGACAGTAAAGATGTTTTCATTCTCTAAGGGTTTTTAATCAATTAATGTTTAATGTTTAATCTATTAATGTTTAATCCATTAAACATATTTGCTGCTTAGAAACGTATGAACTATGCTGGCTGTTGCTATAATCGTTTTACGGTTATCTACTTTAATTATTGTGCTTTAATGTTTTATTTTCATTTTTTCATAATTGTACTTGGTGCCCATTAACACGGCGCGACCTGCCCCAGGAAACTTTGGGCTTGAAGGAAAGCATATAAACATTTAAAATAAATAAGTAATAAGTAATAGATTATAAATGAAATCTTGCTCTGATGCTGAAATTAGCAATCGAGGCCTTTGCTATCTTTCCCTTTGCTAAAATATTTAAGTGATGACTTCAAACAAGGATCCTTTTGATAGTAGTAGCCACTCCACACTCTACTATTAATAGCTTACTTATCTCACCAGGAATATAGCTGCGATTCTGAGTGTGATTTAGAAATGCTTCTGACAGGTTTATCAATATGTATATAAATGTATATGTACGCATTTCTTTGATGCGGTTTAATTTCATCTTGTATAGCTTTGTAAAGGCACTTTAAAGTGTCACAGATCAGCTTGTAAGACAGACATTCCTTGATCTATTTACCAAATGAAATAAACTGCCTTGCTCCTATCTGTTGCCTTCGTAAAAGTAGTTTTTGCTATGTTTTTCCTTTCCAAACATTCTCAGATTTGCTCCTAGCAAAATGAGCAAGCACCTCAGTTTCTAACACACCCAGTTGGAAGATAGATGTGAAGATCTCAACTGAACCTTTGGAGAAAGGATGTCAGCCAAAAAAGGAAGATTCTTTATAATAAGTATCAAAAACTCTTAATTCCATTAGACAGTAAAGTTGGCTAACAACAATACCACAGTAAGCCGAAAAGAGGTTCACAGTTGGTGTGAGCTTCCTAATGCCATCCCACAAGTTCTCTTACTTACTATAAAGACATTTCTTGGATTTTGAATTCTCAAAGTATCTCAGACTCCCCTGTATCATAGCCTGGATCCAACTTTACCTTTTTTATTAAAATATAAAATGTAATGTGAACACTGTACAAGTAGTTTTCGACTTATGACCTGTTGCTTGGCGATTGTTCAGTGGTGCAACTGCCTCCCCTCAGAAGTATTTACAACCTGGTTTTGACAGTTGCTTCTCCGTGGTCACATGACCGTATATATTGAGCATTTGTCAACCAGCCTACATTTACGGGCACTTGTGGTCACATGACATTTTTACGACCTTTGGCTGAAAAGTGACATTTGCTTCCGTTTTTCGGTAAAAATAGCCTTTAGCAGCGATGGCTAACCTTTTCCACGTTGCGTGCCAAAAGTGTGCGTGCGTGCTTGCATATATGGTGCATGCACACGCAATCCTCCGTCCTCCTGTGCATGCGCACACAACCCCCTCGGCACGGCGCAAACCTCTGCGCATGTGCGCACATCTTCCACATGCATGTCTCCCCCCATGCATGTGCAGCAGATACCCAACAGTCAGCTGGCTGGCAGGGGGCATGCACGCATGCGCAGAGGGGCTTTTCCGGGTGACCTCTCGCATGCCGGCAGAAATGGCTCTGCGTGCCACTTCCGGCATGTGTGCCATAGGTTCATCATCAGCGGCCTCTAGCAAACTGTGGGTTTGCTTTAAGATCATCCCCATTTACTTAACCACCACCACAAAAAAGGTAATAATAAAAATAATATAATAATAATAATAAAACAAAAAAGGTCTGGTGACCCACATTGCAATCCTTAATCATAACGGGCAGGTCCATTACAGTCAGAGGTGGTATTCAGTCGGATTCGGACCAGTTCCAGCATACCAGTAGCAGAAATTTTGAGTAGTTCGGAGAACCGACAAAAACTAGCTCTGAGTGGCTCCGCCCACCCGCACCCACTGTTCCCTCTCCTATATTCCCTTGTTTTTTAGCTCAGCTGATTCGCGCGGCAGAGCAGATTGCTGCACCTCAGCTGAGGTAAAAAACAGCTCAGCGAGGCGCACATGCATAGAACCACTCATAAAACTGGTAGGACATAATTTGGACATCCACCACTGACTACAGTCGTAAGTAGAGGATTCCCTATATCAAAATGAAAGAATGCAAATTCCTACCTCGTTCCAGCAGATTGGCTAAAAGTTAAAACTGCTCTGCTTCAGTTCCAGAATTGATCGAGAGGCTGTTGAATTGTAACCCTGAAACCTTGGGCTCCCGGGCATAGCAGCAGCTCAGTGAATCACATTTACCAAACAAGACCCGGTGACAGGCATCTTACCTTGAAGGAGGCGTGCTGTTCCATGTGCCTCAGAAGCTGTGGCTTTTGGGCCGCCGTATAATCACACACCGTGCACTTGAACTGTTTTCCTGAAACAAAAGGTGGAGAAGTTGAGATCCCAACAGGGAAAAAGAATATAATACGCTGAAGTGAACTTGTTGACGGTTGAGGAGCAATTTCTCTGAAGCATAAAGGATTAGACTCTCAAAGAGGTCTCCATAAACCGAGAAAAATAAAGGGGAAACGAGAAAAAAAAAATCTGGGCTCAAATTGTAATAAATCAAGGACTTCTTGTATGCCGATAAAAAACAAGAAAAAATACCCAGTTCTTGCATGAGTGGAAACAATTAAATCAAGTTGATGCAATCGATTCCACTCATCCAAGAACTGTTTTTTTTTTTCCCCCACACCTGCACTTTGAGCTGGAAACAAATTTGCATGTGCAAAACAAGAAAGAAGTCAAGGAAATGGTTTGACTTGCTTGCTGGAGAAGATGGACAGATGGTGATAATCAACAGGGAGGAGGCTGAACTGCTTAACTGTTATTTTACATACATCTTTTCATGCACCAAAAAAGTGACCTGATTTGTCGAAAGCTGCACAACAGGGGACAGAAGAGAAATGTTGGCCAAACTACAAGTTTTGAGATTGGTTCTCCACTGCATGGATATTTTTAATATGCTTCCCTCCAGCAAATATATATTTGTTAAAACTTTTATGTCAAAAAGTCCTCGACTGTATAGCAGCGTCCAATACTACTATGACACAAAGTAAATTTGTTCCTCTTCACTCATCATTTTCAGCATTCTTTTTTTTTTTTTTGGCAGAATAAGAATGGTTTAGTATTTAGAGAGCATATTTAAACCCACACAGAGATCTGATCTACTCCCACTCTTCCTATAGAACCAGGATGGAGAAATGCTATTTGAAATCCTTTCAGAAAGAGCTGTCAAAAACTGGTGCAAGAAAAAAAAAAGGCACATTTCCACTAATGTGAAGAAAACTACTTCCTGAATTTGAAATTGCTGCAGAAAGTTGGGAGCAGCTTATGCAGAAGATGACAGTTTTCCTATTATACAAAACCCAACAAAATTTGATGCTTAAATATTCTTGATCCTTCTGAAGAGAGAAAAAGTCAGATTTTGTTGAACATCACTATTGTTGTGAGCCATAATGAAGTCAGGCAGTGAAGTGTTATGTCAGGAGATGCTTCTGGCTTAGAATATCAAAGTGAGTGAAGTAAGTCAAGTACAGAATAGAGTAGAGTAGAGTAGAGTAGAGTAGAGTAGAGTAGAGTAGAGTAGAGTAGAGTAGAGCAGAGTAGAACAGGACAGGACAGGACAGAACAGAACAGAATAGAATAGAATAGAATTCGTTATTGGTCAAGTGTGGTTGGACATACAAGGGATTTGTCTTGGTGCAAATATTCTCACTGTACATAAAAGAAAAGATACATTCATCAGGAGTCAAGAATCATAAGGTACAACACTTAATGATAGCCATAGGGTACAATAAGCAATCAAATCATACTAGGAAACAGTCAATATAAATCATAAGGATACAAGAGACCAAGTTACAGTCCTACAATCACAAGTGGGAGGGGATGAGTGATAAGGAGTGATGAGAAGATTAATAGTAATAGTAGTGCAGAATTTGTAAATAGTTTGACAGTGTTGAGGGAATTATTTGTTTAGCAGAGTGAGGGCATTCGGGAAAAAACTGTCCTTGTGCCTAGTTGTTCTGGTGTGCAATGCTCTATAGCGTCGTTTTGAGGGTAGGAGCTGAAACAGTTTATGTCCAGGATGTGAGGGTATGTAGATATAGGACTATCTACTATATATTATTAATATACAGTATAGTCCTTGACTTATAATTGTTAATTGAATCTGGAATTATGGTTGTTAAGTTGTATCAGCCATTAAGTAACTGTGCTTGATTTTATGACTTCTGTAATCATTATTATGCAAACTCCATCGCTGTTGCTTTCCATACAATGATAAAACCTGGTCATGTGACTGCAAGGTGCTGTCAATGACCATAAACATGCCTGTGTTGCTAAGAACCAAATTACGGTCATATGACCATGGTGGGGAACCGTTGGAACTTTGGAATAGGGTCATAGATTGCAACTTTGAATGGTCATTAAGCAACTGGTTGTAAGCCAAGGAGTACCAATAGTTAATTAGAGGAGGGCAAACCACCAAGACAAAATACAGGTAGTCCTTGACTTGCAACAATTCTTTTAGTGGTCAGTCAAAGTTACAACAGCCCTGAAAAAAGTGACTTATGACCATTTTTCACACTTAAACAATCATTGTAGCATCCCTGTGGTCATGTAATCAAAATTCCCTCTTGGCAACTTGCACACATTTAACTTTCGCTTTAACAACCATGTTCCTAACTTAACGGTAGAGATTCGTTAAAAACAACAGGGGCAAAAAAGGTTGGGAAACTCACTTAACAACTGTTTCCCTTGGCAACACAAATTTGGGCCTCAATTCTGGTCGCAAGTTGAGGACTCCCTATAATGTGAAACTGAAAAAAATAAAATAAAAAATAAAAGCACCTGTCTGCTCTGAGGAAGCTTGGCTGATACTCTGACTGCTCTTTTCTGTCTCTATATATTGAATATTTTTTTTAAAAAACCAACAACAACCCTGTCATACCCCTGTCGGAATCTGATTCGGAAGGGGAGGCCGAGAAGCTGACAGGGAGTGGGAATGTGGCTCCGTTGGCTGTGGAAGAAACTGGGGAAGGGCACAGGTCAGTTGGGCAGAGCAGGGGAGAGGTAAAGCAAGGCAGAGGGAATTCGGAGGAAGACCCAGGCCCATCCCCTCTTCATCCTAGGGCACGCAGGGAGGAACGGAGAAGGGAGTAATGTGAGTTGTGTGGCTTACAGGGGAGGAAAGGGCCCTGATTCCCTTCATTAGCTGCAGCTGGGAACACACTGTTTAAAAAGGGAGATTGCGCACAGCAACTTGTTGGAAGCAAATAGTGAGTTATCTTTTATTGTTGAGGCTTATCTGGCATCTTCCCAGCTGTGTGTGTTTTGTTGACCTTTGAATTCTGCAATTCCTTATCCAACCCTACCCAGTTAATTGCTTCAGTGTGGTTTGTGTGGATTTTTATTTACAGTTTATATGTACTTTGTTTTAGGACTGAATTTCCTCCACTTAAAGGCTGTTCTTGGGAGAGTTTTTTCTCCAGCCAGAGGTAACTGGACATTGGGGACAAAATTGGAGGTATTAAAGGGACTTTTCTTACTTATGTGACTGCGTTGCCTTGTGCCACGCCCCGGGTCATCACAAAACCTCTGGAACTTGTCAGACTCTGCCTGTTGCAGTCAAATTCTACAAATGGTGCATGAATATTGTCACAGAAGCTTTCTATGAACCTGCCAGTGCAAGGACCTTTCATGTGAGTCAAAAGAATGACAGAAATGTCTTACTGAGAACATTTGTCCCTCAAAGTATGCTTGTGTGGTTGGCCCTAAGCGTCGGCCCATTCTGCTAAATTAAGACTCAACAAGGCCTGGGAAATCTCTTTCCATTCGCATCCTTTAATTACACCTTCGTTTGCCATCTGGAGCAATGTTTCCAAACCTGACCCAGAGCTACTCACCATCAGCGGTGTGAAGGAGTTTATGGCTCTTCAAGGTGCCTTTCGATTTGAACTTCTTCCCGCACCTGTCGCACAGGTGCGTCTTCTCGGTGCTGTGGCGATTCATGTGAGCTTTGAGGTTGCTTTTGCTGCGAGTAGCGTATTCGCATAGAGAGCATTTGAACGGCTTGATCCCTACAGGGAGAGAAACCGTTTTAGGCAGTCAGTCTTTTCCAGCTCGAACAGGATGACAGAGAATGTTTTCAGGAGACATTCCATCCAGCTAGTTGACAATTTGGGGGCTGCATTTACAATGTATTTTTTTTTGGGGGGGGGGAGACATCAAATTGTGGAGGACTCTTTTAGGACTTCATCTCCTTACAAAAAACAAATAAGCAAAATTGTACTGTGGAACTCCATGGTAGCATATGCATATGTATGTACAGAGGCTGATGGCTATAAGCCATGGATTAGACAGTGTTGCCACCACTACAATATCAGACAAAATGGGGAAGAAAAATTCTATTTCGGATTGTGCCAGAAGAGAAAGAACTTGTACCTGCTCGTTTCACCACCTTGACCTGTCTCAATCCTCTCCCATTCACACCAACCTTTAATGATTCTAGAGCGATGCTTAATGGTTGGGTTTGCATGACATCTTTGAGTATTGTTGCTCCAGAAAATCAAGGAAGTGCCAACAAACAGTAAACAGCCCAAAGAAAGAACCAACAAAATCACTCCCACCAACCCTTGACAGGGCAAAACACTAGCATATAAAATGAAAGCAAACCCCACTCCCTACTAACACTGATGATGTTGCCTAGCTTGGTAATGAAATGTCTGCAAGAAAGTGACCAAGCTCAGAGAGCACCAGGGACCCCACAGTTTAACCCTGAGCTACAAATATTATTTTCTATCAGTATCCTTGAGTAGGCTAAATGGTTTTGTGCATCCTCGCATCTAAAGCATGGGTGTCAAAACTTTTGGCTTGCCTGGGTCACATATAGAGTATATAATATAGTTAATGTACATATATAAATAACATAATGTGAAAAGTTTATGATATTGTGTGGCTGCTATCCAGGGCTTTGGCTTGTGAACTGCTGGCTGGACAGACCTGATCTAGAGCATAAAGTAACAATCATGGCTTATTTTTCTGGACATATTGTAACTCATGTAAACTCATGTAAACTCATGCAAGTGGTTTTAAGTTTTATTTTATTTTACTTCTGTTCCTTGCTCAGAGTCCCTTGTTCAAGTGGGCAGCCACATAAATTGGATAAATAAACAGATATTGTGTTCTGTTTATTTAAGTATAGGACTTAAATGCTACGTGAATTCAAGTCATTCTTTTCTGGTTTACCGTTCCCTCTTACCCATCTCTTTTTCTTTGAGCTGTAATTATAGATTTCAAGTTCCTTGAGTAAGAGTGCATTGTTTTGTGATTTGTAGAGTGCCATGCACTTTTATGCAGAGAGGGAGAAGTAATAGCTAAGCACACTGAATTTTGTTGCCTTTTTTGTGTGGCCAGCAGCTTTGAAAATGTGTGAATGTTAAAAATCCTTCGCAAATGGCAATGTGTTAATTTAACATTTTGTTTGTAGGTACATATGAAGAAAAAATTACTTGCTGGTCTAATCTTGATTCATTAATTTAGAAATAAAAGAGATTCAACGTATTGATTCCTGAATAACTGTGGACTTCAGCTGCTGAGACGGAAAATCACAAAACATATAGCCTGAATGAGATGAGCCACAAACAACTGATTTATAGAGTGTTAATTCCAAAATTGGATACAGGAAGGAGTTCTGAAAACTGAAGATATGACATACTGAAGCGATAAAACAGAGCTAGGGAAGACATTGTATTATAAACACTGTACTATAAATGAAGAGTGCATTACACAACATCAATGTTGGGAATTAAAGATTAACCCTGTGCTACTGAGCTGCCTGCTAGATTTTGCATCAGATCAGGCAGCCTTTTAAATAATGTAGAAGTGTTGTTATAGTTAAATATGTTTATATCTGTAAAGTTCTGTGAAGTGGTATATAAGCCAAGTCTACGCGCTGTTGCTATTGACTATATCATGCAATATGAAAGAAAAACAAATTCAGCAGATGATAATAGTTATCCAATGAACCCTGATTTGGACTATGCTTTGAATTCTCCATGCTTCAGTTGACTTTGTGACACTGCCATCCTACCTTGATTATTTTTTATAAATAACACAAGGCATAGATAGCATAGAACAGGGGTTCCCAACCTTTTTTTCGCCCCGCACCCCTAAAGAAATTTCACTCGAACCTCGCACCCCCTGAAATTTAGACTTTAGGAACTACTGAACACGTTAAAATATATGGTAGGATTGAATCTTTTCAGCTACGTATGTGACGGCCACTAAATAACGATACTTAACTCTAAAATGAAAACAAAGTTAATCCATTGCATGATAAATAAAAATGCCAACATATAGCCAATACCCTATTATTTACCTGGACTTTTCTCGCACCTCCTGGAATATCGTCTTGCACCCCCAGGGGGTGCGAGCACCCCAGGTTGGGAACCCCTGGCATAGAATAACAGAGTTGGAAGGGACCTTGGAGGTCATCTAGTCCAACCCCCTGCTCGAGCAGGAGAGTCTGTTCCAAATATTCGCCTCTAGCCTAGGACTGAACACAAAGCCTCCTGATTGTGAGGCGAGAGCTCCACCTCTAGGCCACCAGAGCTGCGGTGAACATATCCAACATCTTCCTCCTCTTATTTTCCCCACAACTCTGTGAAGTGGATTGAGCTGAGAGGGAGTGATTGGCCCAAAGTCACCCAGGTGGCTTTCATGTCTAAGATAGGGCTAGAACTCACCATCTCCTAGTGATTGGCCCAAAGTTAGCTTTTTTCCCCCTAAGGTGGAACTACAACTTACCAACTCCTGGTTATTGGTCCCAAATCACCCGGCTGCCATTTATGGCTGAGGCAGGATTTGAGGTGATTTTGTTTATCATTTATATACTGGTGCCGACGAAGGTCTTTTGATAAAAGGGCTGAAATAGGAACAGCTCACTGTATGCATTTGTATCAGAATATGTCATGTTTGCTCCCCAGGTTCTTGCCTTTCTCACCGGCAAATTACTGCAATTATGGACAGACAGGCCCTCGCTACATCCCATTTACCTTCATGAGCCCAAATATGACGCTGGAGATCCGATCCGTTCTTCATGAAATAAAAATTGCAATAAGGACATTTCACAGCTCGTTTTCCGATAAGTCCTTTGAGCTGAACTCTCCTGCCAACAATCTTGGAAATCGTGTGCATAGACACCTCTGAGATTGAGAGGGGAGGTGGAGTTGGGGAAGGAAAGGAAAAGCAGAAAAGGGGAAGGGAAAAAAAAAATAAGAAGGTAAGCGCTTGCCATTAGGCTTTCAGAAACCAATAAAATATAGATTGTTTTGACTGCTGCTTGTTGAATCTTTTCAGGAGTTTTCCGTTCGTGGGTTTTGTTTTCCCCAGGTAAGATCTGAACTTGAAAGAAAGAGCCTCATTAACGGAGGCTTTTTTTTCCCCAGCATTGGTCAATCCATTTGTGTATTATGCTGTTTTTCTCTACTCTTTGAGCGACAAATTAGAGACTGGTTGGGCTGATGGTGCAGAAATTGGCTTTTTTGTCTCTCTCTCTCTGTGTGTGTGTTCTCTCCCAGGAAGCCTTCGCAAACAGTAAACACCTAAGCAGGGCAGCTTCACTAACCAAATATTTATGAGCTTTAATAGTCTCCGAGAGCTGCTAACATTTGCTCAAGGTTTCACCCAGGATTTCTGGAAGGGACGGGAATTCTAAATAAATAGCTTGTTAACAACTGCAAAAGGCCTAAAAACCCAGATGGGATGGTATAATTGCCAGAAAAGAAGGATGCATTATTCCGACTCAGTGAGGGAGAATAACCAAACGTAAGCACGGGCCCTACCTTGACAAGGATGTATATACAGGTAGTCCTCCAGTTACAACTATAATGGAGCTTGGCCAGGAGTGGGGTTCAAATTAGTTTACCACTGGCTTGGTGGGCATGCTTTCTGCGTGCACAGAGTCCTTCCTACTGACCTTCTCCTGCACTCCTGCGCTCTCCCTGTGTCTTCAACAGCTGACGCGTGGCAATCCGCTGTGCCGCACAATGCAGCTGAGCGTCAAAAGCAGGAAATAATAGAGCTGGGGCAGGCGGATGGGCCCAGCAGCTGATAGTCGGAGCGAAACAGTTCGCTCCCAGATGATTTTGGGTGCTACCGGTTCAGTTGAACCGGGCCGAACCAGTAGAACCCCACCCCTTATGGTTGAAAGTCGTGATAGTCATAATCGGGTCTCCCATTATGTTTTGTGGCAATTGTCAAGTCTACAGCATGGACGTTAAGCTAACCAATGCCAAAAACTGGAAGGAAATGCTGGGTTTTTGGCAAAACCGTTGTAAAATCCAGTTACATGACCGTGGGATGCTGCAAAGAGCCATAATTGCAAGGCTGGTTGTTAGGCATGTGTGATCTGGGGGCAGCCATCGGAGCTCAGTATCAACACTTTGAACATAGGTCATAAGGAGCTTTTCTGGGGTCTGTTGCTAAGCAACCCATCGTAAGTCGAGAATTACCTTTACAAGTAGTCCTTGACTATGAACACAACTCAGCCCCAAATTTCTGTAGCTAGTAAGAAAGCGGTTAAGTGAGTTTTGTCCCTGTCAGCCTCCCAGAATTCTTCCTGACATCTTTGACTGCTTGGCTCGTGTCGGCTGCCATGGAAATGGGGGGGTGGGGGAGGGATAATTGGGGCTTTTGGGGGAAGGGTGCTGGAGATTGAAGCTGTGTGAATTGTAAAAGCTGGGATGCTTTCTTGCTTACTGCGCAAATGCAGCCACTTGTCTTTTCTAGGCCAAGGTCAACCGTCTCGGCATACCAGGTGTATGAGACGCCACCTGAAGATGTACCCACATGACATTATACAACACCTCAGATTGGATGTCCAGTTTCGGGGTGGGGACTTGGGATAACTTTCTATATGTAATTTCCACGCCTTTTGCCTCAGATCTTGTTTTTCCTTTGTTGCTATCACTTCAGTAAAATTACTTTGCTCTATAAAAATGCTGTCTAAAGATTATTTCTTGGATTTTGAATGAAGGCTCGTCCGATAGTCCCTTTTTATGACCTTTCTCATCAAAGTTGCTAACTGAATCACTGCAATTGTTATTAACACCATCATTAAGTAAATCTGGCTTCCCCACTGACTGACTCACTTTGCTTATCACATGGTCGCAAAAGGGGATTACATGACCCCGGGACACTGTAAGCATCACAAATATGAACCAGCGGTCAAGCCTCTGAATTTTGATCATGTGACTGTGGGGATGCTGCAACGGTCACTGTAAGTGTGAACAATGGTCATAAAACATTTTTTCAATTCCACTGTAACTTCAAACAGTCACTAAATGAATGGTTGTAAGTCAAGGACTGCCTGTTCAATCATAGGGAGTTCATACAAGGGACGCAAATTCCCACAACGATTTGAAGTCACTTTTTTCAGCATCGCTGTCAACTCCTAAAACATTCCTATGCCTGTTTTAGTAGTTGCCATAAAAAAGAAAGTGGGAGGAGTAAGAAAATCTGGAAGAGCAGTGTAGCAGTTTGAAAGCGGAAGCACATTCCAACTCTTGTCTTTAAAAGGTTGTAACTAAACTACCAGCGCTTTTGCCCACGAATATATTTAATTGGAGAACGTGAATGATGACACCCAGCCCATGAACGTGCTCAATTGGAGAATCTGGTTTGTGAGACACCCAGGGGGGAAGGGGGAAACAGATTAACAGATAATCAGAGTTGGAAGGGACCTTATAGGTCATCTAGACCAACCCCCCACCCAAGCGGGAGACCCTACACCATTTCTGACAAATGGCAGTCCAAACTCTTCTTGAAGGTCTCAAGTGATGGCACTCCCACAACTTCCGAGGGCAACTTCTGTTCCATTGGTTGATTGTTCTCACTCAAACAGGGTCACAGGTGACTGTAAATTACGTATGCCAAAGTTGGCTTCATACAGGGCAGTGCCAGTATGTAGCCTCAATTAAATCCTTTGAAGTTTGGCTCAAGAATCATGATTTAATTAGGGCGATTGCTGGAATCCTGACAGCAAGCCAACTCTGGCATACGTAATTTACAGTCACCCATATCGGGATGATGGCCCATCATGCTGCCCAGTCACTGTAACTCTGTAGGATCAGTAAATGAATGGTTATAAGTTGAGGACTACTGTATGTCTTTGTATGCCATACGGACCTGGTTACAACTACTTGAAACAAAAATAATTTCCAGGTTGACTTGCATCCTAAACTCTTATGTCACCCTTTCAAGCAGACCGAGGAGTGGACCCCCAGTGACTTTTGATGGATTCAAACACTGACCAATTCAAAGACTCTCTTCTCACTTTGCAGACCGCTCTTCGGGTCATTGGCTATGAGAGAGAGAGAGAGACAGAGACAGAGACAGAGAGACAGAGAGAGACACAGAGAGAGACACACACACACACAGAGAGAAGACAGTCCCACCCACAAGAAAATTCTCTGAAACAGCTTGAGAAGTGAGCAAGGAGATGATGTATGTTCACACACCCACTTTCCCTCTGCAGACAGAAGCTGGCAAGTCACAATTTCCTTCCCCCTCTGCTAATTCCTCCAAAATCTATTCAATTGTTTGCTGGAAACCAGAAGCCCTTTAAACAACCTGGCAGATGGGAGACGGGAAGGCTATAGAACTGTGATGGCGAACCTATAGCACGTGTGCCACAGGTGGCACACAGAGCCATTTGTGCCAACACGAGAGTTGCAGGCAAACTTACCTCACTGCGCATGTGTGCACCTCACAACTGATTTTTGGCCGGTTTGAGGCCTTTTTCAGCCTCCCAAAGGCTTGAGGAAGACTTCTGCAGGCTTCTACAAGCTTTGTAGGCCGAATTCTAGCCCCGTTTCATCACTTCCTGTTTTTCCCAAAAAAATGGAAGTGATGAAACGGGGCTAGATTTCGGCCTACAAAGCTTGTAGAAGCCTGCAGAAGCCTTCCTCAAGCCTTTGGGAGGCTGAAAATCAGCTGTGAGGTGCAGTGCAGGTAAGGGGGCGGTGGGTGGGTGGGTGTGGGGATTGCGCACGCATATGTAGGGGATGTGAGGGGGCACACATTGCCTTCTGGGTGCTGGCACGCGAGTGTGAGCTGCGAGCATGCAAGCGCACACACAATTTTTGGCACAGGAGCCCCAAAACGTTAGCCACCATTTAGGAGCAGTGGTGGGATTCAAACCAGTGTAACAACTGGTTCGGCATGCGTAGTGTTTCAAAACCACCCATTTTCGGCTCTAAAAGTTATCTTTTGTTGTAGCCCTGGTGAGTAAGAACAGCTAACACCCGGCAATCCGCTGGGCTGGGCTGAAAAATACAGAAATATAGGACAGACTAGGGCCGAGGTGGATTGGGGGACCAACTAATCGCTGGAACTACCGGTTCGCCCAAACCAGTCCGTACTGGCCGACCCACCCCTGCTTAGGAGCCCTTGTTAACTACTTGTATGCTCCACATCTTCAATTTTAGAAGAAAGATTTGCCTCCTCCATTTCAGTCTGGCAAATTACTATTCATAGTATAGGTGCTGGGACACGAAATAATTTGATCACCGAAATGATTTCTTTTTTTAAAAAAAAAATCTTCTTCATGATGATAATGACAATAATAGCAGCAACAATGAAAGCCTAATAGCAAGAAGGTGTAATATAACAGCAGAATGTTATTCAGCGGGTGCCTTGCCTCCACGATTACATTGCATTCAGACCCATCAGTGTGGCTTATCTTACCTGGATGGTTTGTCTTTATATGAGCTTTTATAAGTCGGTCTTCAGAAAATGATTTCTCACACACAGGGCAGGAATAACTCTTTTTGTCCTTTAAAGGAAAGAAAGAGAAAAGAAGACGGTATCGGTTCACTGAACTGATTGCTAAACTCATTACACAATGAATAATATCAGGCTTCCAACAAAATAAGGCTCAAAGGTGGATTTTAGTTGGCGGATGAAAAGACAGAACAGTTATCATTATCACAATGAGCCACATGGAAAGGATTAAAAAAAAAAAAAGACTTGTAAGCACACGGGTGATTTCAAAATAATTCAGAGCTTTGGTTTAGACCGGAGCAATCTTGACAACTTGAAAGATCTGTGGACTTCAATTCCACAGGTTGGTCCACAGATCTTGAAATTGCCCTGGTTGGATGCCCCAGATTTAGATCGATAAAGGAGGAAGGAAGAAATAGAAATTAGACTTCTATACCACTTCACTGTGCTTTACAGCCCTTTCTAAGCAGTTTAAGAGAGTCAGCATATTGCCCTCAACAATCTGAGTCCTCATTTTACTCCCCTTGGAAAAATGGAAGGTTGAGTCTATCTTGAGCTGGTCAGGATTGAACTCCTAGCACTGGGCAGACTTTGCCTGCAATACTGCATTCTAACCATTACACCACGAGGGAGGGAGGGAAGGAGGGAGGGAGGGAAGGAAGGAAGGTAGGTAGTTCTTTTATTTCTATGTCAAGCATGGCTGGACATTTTGGGAGTTCAACATCATGTCCTGAGAGAGAATTTGTTTACCAATACTGTACAGACATATTACAAACCAGTTCTCACGAAGGATAGATACAGTCTGGCAGACCAATCTCCTTGAATTTAACAGATCATGGGATTCAAAATTAAAACTGGCTTTAGAAATGGCAGGTTTTAAGAAGACTGACACTACCTCTGCTCGACTGAAATTGCTTTCTTCCGCAAATGTTATGTGTAAATGATATTTGGGGCCATTTTATCCCACGTAGGGAAAACGAAAAACTAAATGGGAGTGGATTCCAAGCCCCTTAACTATTATTTCTATCAATGTTTGAATATCTGCTCGATGGGAGTTGAAATCAGAAAATAAATACGCAGAACTTCAAGTATATTATCATTCCAAAGCTAATAATTTTGAAGCCAAGTTGATGAGTTGGAGGCTCTAATTCAATTCTAAACATATGCAGCCAGCTCCATAAAGGCTCCTGGGATCTTTTACAGTGTGGAAGAGACAGACTGTTCCACTTCTAACGAATGCCAAGATTTGCTTCCTGGAAAAAGCCAAATGCTCCATGAGACTCAGAGATAAAAATTAGATTTTCTTGCATTCAGAGCGGTCTGCCAAGGAAAATTCCAGCCGCAAAGAGAAAATCAAAAAATTATCATCGCTATATGTGAGACCTTCACCTTTCCGAGGTAATAAGTACAATATGAACAAGTTTAAAATTTATATCTTGTTGGAATATGTGCTCATTAGAAAACTTTTTCAGAGCTGAGATTCATCAGGAGGAGCAAATCTCAATGACAACCAATCGTTTTTTTAAAATATCTATGGATCTGCAATTCTTCTGCCAAGGAGAGATTAGAATTTGGAATTTGACTTTCAACATCTCCAGGCATTTTGGCTATGAAATAAAATATTTAGATATGTTCACTATCAAAAAATGTCAATATTATAAGGGGAAAAAAAGCATAATATGAACACATTTTCTAGTATGAATAGAACATATAGAATATAACATCATAAGACTAGAAGGAGCCTCAGAGGTCTTCTAGTCTAACCACCTGCTCAAGGCAGGAGACCGTATAACATCCAGATCAAATTGTCTATTTTCGAAAAACTTCAGTTATGGAGCAACCAAAATCCCAGAAGGCAAGCTATTTCACTGATTAATTGTTCTCACTGTCAGAAAATTCCTCAGTTCTAGATTGGATGTCTTTTTAAGAAGCTTCCACTTGTTATTTCTTGCCCTGATCTCTGGGGCTTTGGAGAATAAGTCAATATCTCTTCTCTATGACAGCCCTTCAAGTACCAGAAGACAGTTATCATATCCCTTCTAAACCTTCTCTTCAACAGACTAGACATGCCCAACTCCTGCAAGTTCTTCGTATGTTTTAGCCTCCAATCCCCTAATCACCTTTGTTGTTCTTCACTGTGCTCTTTCTAGAGTCTCAACATCTTTTTTTGCAACATGGCGAGCAGAACTGTATCTTCTGTGTGGCCTCACTAGTGTGATATAAAGCAATACTAACTTCTCATGATAGCAATAGCAGTAGCCCTTAGGCTTATATACCGCTTTATAGTGCTTTGCAACCCTCTCTTAAGTGGTTTACAGAGTCAGCATATTGTCCCTCCACAATCTGGGTCCTCATTTTACCCACCTCGGAAGGATGGAAGGCTGAGTCAACCATGAGCCTAGTGGGATTCGATCTGCCAAATTACAGGCAGCCAGCAATCAGCAGAAGTAACTTGCAGTACTGCACTCTAACCACTGCGCCACCGAGGCTCTTTATTTATGATATTTATGCTACACACACACACACACAATAATAATAATAAAGATAAATATTTATGATATTTAAGACTGCATCAACAGTGCCAAAATCAAGTTAACTCTTCTAAAACTCCTTTCTTTGGAGTTTAGCACATTCTATCAAGCCAAACTGTCTGGACATTTTATGGCAGAAATTCTCCTGGGATGTCATACATTCTGGAAAGTGGTTGCAACATCCTAGGAATAAATGAATGACCTAGACCATTCAAGTCTGATTTCAGCACACAGAGAGCATCAGTCATACTGATGTGTCAATGTAACTCTCATCTATGGAGATTCTCAGTCACCCATGTCATGGTTGTCCCAGAGATGCTTTTTTTCAAGAGGCAACTGGACTTACTTGTTTTTCTTTGAAGATGCGTCGCTTCTCCTCCAAGAAGCTTCTTCAGCTCTGGGTCAGTGTGACTCTCCTAGACTTGTTTGATCTCTTGAGGCAAGAGGGTCCAACTTTGGCAACTTTATGACCTGTGGACTTCAATACCCAGAATTCCCCAGCCAGCCATGGGGAAATAACTCTTTTCTGGGAGTTGAAGTCCATTAGTCTAAAACTTGCCAAGGTTGGATAATTCTGTTTTAGTAGCTTTTTGATATTATCAGTCAACATGCTGAGACTTTTTTTTTTTGGGGGGGGGGGGGGGAGGGGAGGAGAAAAGTGCAGAAAGTGCCATCTGCTACAAGTTAGATGATAGCAGAAGTAAGTACCAACCCACTATAGTACAACAACGAAGTGGGGCAAGGATAAGTAGACCGGAGTCTCAGCCCTGCGCCAACCCAAAGTTATTGCCACATAGCCTTTGTGTGAAATGTTCATTTTCTGTCAAAATTAAATTGACATTGTATTAGCTCTCTAAGCACAGTTACTTATAGGTAGTTTCTGATTTACGGCCGGTTGTTTACCGACCTTTCAAAGTTACAGCAGACCTTCCCGAGGGTACTTATGACCCAGTTTCAAAGTTCCAATGGCCTCATTCCCTGCCATGGTCACGTCACAATATTCTGGGGGCCTGCATTTACAACTGTTTGTAGCAGTCCTGTGATGACCCGGGGCGTGGCACAAAGGTAACACAGTCAAATAATTAATAGGAGTCCTTTTATTATCGCCAGCTTTGCTCCCAATGTTCAGGTTACCTTCTGGCTGGAGAAAAACTCTCCCAGGAAAAGCCTTTGACTGCAGAAAATTAAGTCCAAAACATGGTCAACAAAAACTGTAACTTAAAGTCCAAAGAAACCAAACGGAAGTAATTAGTTTTGCAGGGCAGGAGCAAGAATTTCAGACGTGAAGGCACAGCAAAACTCACACAGTTGGGAAGATGCCAGGAACACAGATAAGCAAAGACAACACAGGATGAAGCCACATTTGCTCCCAACAGCCTGCCGCATGCAGTCTGCCTTTCTTATCAACTGTCTTCCCAGCTGTAGCTAATTAAGGGAATCAGGGCCCTTTCCTCCCCCATAAGCCACACAACCCATCTTGCTCTCTTCTCCGTTTCTCCCCAGGTGCCTTAGGATGAAGAGAGGGGTGGGCCTGGTTCTTCCTCTGAATTCCCTCTCCCTTGTTTTATCTCTCCTCTGCTCTGCCTAGCCGGACTTTGCCCTTCCCCGGCTTCCTCCATAACCAATGGAGCCACATTCCCATTCCCCGTCAGCTGTCCAGCTTCCTCCTCGTATTCAGACTCTGACAGGGGCATGACAAGTCCACACTCATGTGACTGTGGTTTACCATGTTTTTACTGAAAACCACCTTTTTGGCTAAAACAAGCCCATAGCCAACAATTGGTTCGCTTAATGACTACTGCAAAAAGGTCATAAAACCAGGTTGTTCATGTGGGTGACACATTTATGACTTACAGCAGGGGTCTTCAAACTTGACAGCTTTAAGACTTGTGGACTTCAACTCCCAGAATTCCTCCTCCAGTCAGGTTAGCTCAGGAATTCAGGGAGTTGGAAGTCCACAAGTCTTAAAGCTGTCAAGTTTGAAGGCCCTTAATTTATAGCCATAATGGACAGGCTCCGTGATGGTCCTAAGTTGTGGACCATCTGTATTGTACTTTATTAAAAAAACAAACAAACAAGAGAGGTAGAAAGAGAGGACTGGTGAGTAGCATCCAATTTGGGGCAAAAGGTAACTGGAAGTTTTACCTAGATTTTTCTCTTGTTTTTCCTCAGGCATCGCTTGAAAAGCCTGCTACTCAATCAACGAGCTAGGCTCTTAAGCACTGCGGAAGCTGTAGGTACCTTTGCGATAGACACAAACGCACACAGAGCACAGCAGTTTTGCAAGAGATCAATTGCTACAAATAAAAACCGAGACCGTGTTGAAAACAAGCCCAGGCTTCCCATGCAAAATGAATTCAGATGAGCATTCTAATTCAGGCTTTTATCGTCCTAATAAATACCTGTAAACACTATGGTGCATTTAAAGAAGGACTCCCCAATTTGCTCAGAATTTCATGCTGCTTTCTGAAAAACCAACCTGAGGTTTTTCAGAGACACGGCACTTAGAGTAGGAAATTGGCTCTTCTGAACGTTCCCATTTTTTTTTTTTCAAAGGGATTCAACCTGTTGGAGATATTGGCCAACAGCCGATCTCCTGTCAGTATAGAAGAGCTCTAGAAACATCAGATGAGCATTTCTTTTTAAGGGAAAAAAACCAGACCGGCTGAATCCCACCCCTGCTCTGAGGTCCCTTCCAGCCCTATGATTGTATGTTCTATATGCAACAAAAGGATTTCTTATTGCATTTTCCCATGGCTCTCACTTCTCCTTCCCTGATTATATCTGCCAACAAAGAGCACAAGCAAATTTGTCCCAGCCACCTTCCTCTCTACATAAATCCTGTACAAGACTCATGTGCAAGGAAGCTGCCAAGTCAAGTAAAAAACATCATTTTTCAGGCCTTCTGCTGTCCATGGGCTTACTGAGACTTTGGCCAACGTATCAAGGAGAGAAGATGGAAAGATAATTAAGGCCGAAGGCAAGGGGGAGGACTTTGATAAGCACCACTGAAGGGCATACGGCTGGGGTGCCAAAGGATTTAGTCAAGGATGCTGGGACATGGCCGGAGGCGCTCTTGCTCCTAGATAAGGCCAGGCAATTAGCAGTCTATGGAGGCAATTTTATATACAGTTCTTCTTTCTTAAAAAAGTAAGGAGAGGAAGGTTATATGTATTGCTGAATAAATTCACCTCAATTCAATTGAGGAAGGAAGGAAGGAGAAAGATAGAAAGAAAAGGAAGGAAGGAAGGGAAGGAGGGAGGGAGGGAGGAAGAGAGGAAGAGGTATGTAAGGAAGGAAAGAAGGAAAGAGAAAAAGAGGTATGTAAGGAAGGAAGGAAAAATATAAAAAGAAAAGGAAGGAAGGAAACAAGGAAGGAAAGAAAGACAGAAAGAAAGAAGGAAGAAAAAGTATGTAAGTAAGTAAAGAAGGAAAGAAGGAAGGAAGGAAGGAGAATGACAGAAAAGAAAGGAAAGAAGGAAGGATATTTTCATAATCTTTCAATATTTTTGTCCAATTTAATGTGTATAAGTGAGATGTTATTTCCATACAGGCATGCCACCTAGTGTAAAAAATCATTAAGGAATGAAATTATTAACAGTAAGGAAAGAAAGGAAGGAAGGAAGGAAGGAAGGAAGGAAGGAAGGAAGGAAGGAAATTTTCATAATCTTTCAACATTTTGGTCCGATTTAATATGTTTTGCTGAGATGTTATTTCCATACTGGCATGCCACCTAGTGTAAAAATCATTAAGGAATGAAATTATTAACAATAAGGAGCTTTTCCCATAAGCTGTACTTATTTTGATGCGTCAATGGTCAAGCCAAGAAATGTTCCCCAGGTTCTGGGTTCTCTTGATTACTTATGCAAAATGAGCCCAAAATTAAGTTATGCAGAATAATCCAAATGCAACCAATTCATCCGGACATAAAATGCCTAGTATTTAGTTAGGGAACTCAGTCAGAGGTTGTCGTGCTCCAATGGCACACAACTTTTTCCCACCTCTTTATTTAACCAATCAATCAACATAGTCTCCAAATTCAGACTTTCCCACACCTGAACTGAAAAACAAATAAGGTAGTATAGTACTGTTTAGCTGGAGATGTTTAGAAGGCTGTTAACAGCTATTTATAGAGCAAATGCCAAAAATATAGTCATAAATAATGATAGAATTTCCATTTGAGCTTCACCCAGAAAATGTGGCAAATTTTGTTTTAAATTCCCTTTTTGTTAATTGATTTTTTAGCATTGCTTACATCTTTCAAATTTTATATAGTTTTTATGTTTTTACTATTTTATTTGGACATCACCCAGAATCCCCCTAGGGAGAAGATGGGTACAGGTAGTTCTTTACTTATGACAATGGAGCCCAAACTTTGTGTTTCTAAGTGAGACAGTTGTTTAGTGAGTTTTGCCTCATTTTATAACCATTGTTGCCACAGTTGTTAAGTGAACACTGTAGTTCAGTGGCTTCCTCATCAACTTTGCTTGTCAGAAGGTCACAAAAGAGGATCACGTGACCCCTAGACATCGCAACCGTCATAAGTATGAGTCAGTTGCCAAGTGTCAATTTTGATCATGTGACTCTCAAGGTTGTAACTGTAAAAAACGGCTGTCAGTCACTCTTTTCCAATGCTGTGGTAACTTTGAACGGTCACTCAACAAACTGTTGAAAGCCAAGGACTGCCTGTTATGCCCGTCAGAGTCTGAATCTGAGGAGGAAGCCAGACAACTGACAGGAAATGGGTGTGTGGCTCCATTGGCAGTGGAGGAAACTGGGGAAGGGCAAAGTCCGGCTGGGCAGATCAGGGGAGAGGGAAAACAAGGGAGAGGGAGTTCAGAAGAAGAACCAGGCCCAACCCCCTTCATCCTAGGGCACACAGGGAGGAACGGAGAAGAGAGCAACGTAGGTTGTGTGGCTTAGGGGGAGGAAAGGGCCCTGATTCCCTTCATTAGCCATAGTTGGGAAGACAATTTATAAGAAAGGCAGAATGTGTGTGGCACCTGCTGGGAACAAAAGTGACTTTATCTTGTGTTGACTTTGCTTATCTGTGTTCCTGGCATCTTCCCAACCGTGTGAGTTTTGCTGTGCCTTCATGTCTGGAATTCTTGCTCCTGCCTTGCCAAACTAATTACTTCTGTTTGGTTTCTTTGGACTTTAAGTTACAGTTTTTGTTGACCATGTTTTGGACTTGATTCTCTGCAGCCAAAGGGTGTTCCTGGGAGAATTTTTCTCCAGCCAGAAGGTAACCTGAACATTGCGGGCAAAGTTGGAGCTATTAAAGGGACTCTTATTGATTATCTGACTGTGTTGCCTTTGCGCCACGCCCCAGGTCATCACAGCCGCCTTCAGTCTGACCTAAGTGTAATATAAAAAATAGTCATCACACTACCTGTAGTTTTAGAAGCTGATAAATATGTCAGTGAATTGAAAGTTTAAACAAAGGTACTATCAAGATTCCAGGCTTACCAATTCCGAGTGCACTTTGAGATGGGCCTGGAGTTTGTACTTATCCGGGGTTGAATAATCGCAATCTTCGGTGGGACATTTCAGCAAAATGTTGCTATGCTTCTGGATGACATGGCGCTTAAGACAGTTTTTGGTGATGGAGGAGTAGTTGCACTGAGAACAGTAATGAAGATGCTCTCGCGTGTGCGTGCGGACGTGCATGTCGAAATGTACCTGGTACCAAAACAACTTGCCTGAAAACAATACAGAGAAACATTAATAAGTTGATGGCCCTGTTCCCACAACTCGGTGTCCTGGTTTAACCATAAGACTGATGTGTTGCAGGAACACCAAAAAACATCACCAGGCCCCAGTCCATTAATGCATACAGAATAAATTAGCCCCGCAAAAAAATCTAAATTGGTTCAACGAATACAGTCTAATCCTGTCCTGAAAATATCTAATCCTATGGAATTGAATCCATTTGGGCACATCTAGTGTCCCGCCTCAAAATAACCCTTAATAACAGATTAGCAGAGTTGGAAGGGACCTTGGAGGTCTTCTAGTCCAACCCCCTGCTCAAGCAGGAAGCCCTGTACCATTTCAGACAAATGGTTGTCCAGTCTTTTCTTAAAAACCTCCAGTGTTGGAACATCCACAACTTCTGGAGGTAAGTTGCTCCACTGATTGTTCTGTCAGGAAATTTCTCCTTAATTCTAGGTTGCTTCTCTCCTTGGTAAGTTTCCACCCATTGCTTCTTGTCCTGCCTTCAGGTGCTTTGGAGAATAGGTTGACATCCCCACCTCTTCTTTGTGGCAGCCCCTCAAATATTGGCAGAGGGATATCATGTCACCTCTAGTCCTTCTTATGGGATAATAGGGTTTTTCAGAGAAACAGGATAGGGATTTTGGTTTGGATAGCAGCTATCCTAAGTTAACATGTTGCGAGAGAAAAAACAACAACCAGCTTTTGGAAGCAAAGCAAAAAAAAAAAATCCTTTTAAATATACTTTTTCTCCACTAAATGAATTTGAAAAGACTTGATGAAATGGATTTAATTACTTCCAGAAAGACAGGAACCTCATCTGGACATAGTTAACTGGCATTCCTCTGCCAATTGTGTCCCTAATGACAAACATTTCCAAAAGGTATTCTGCTAATTGAACTGTTCTTAATGCACAGAGTTATCACATGCGCTTTTCAGACAGTACTTGCATCAGGGAGCCTTATTAGCGCATCAGGAGATCAGGTGATGACTACCTAGGGAGGCATATTTTAGGAGAAAGCATTTTTGCTGTAACAGCTGCAGGAAGCAAGGAGTTTAGTTGGCTCAGATTTAAATTAAGAGGGGAATTGGTAAAGTAATATGCAGGTCTCGCGGTGAGAAGTTAAAGAATGGGGACAAAACAATTCCATCCCTATTCAAACATAAGTCTCTAGCCGCATTTCTCAAGAGTAAAAAAAAAAAAGATTTATTAGGAGGAGCCATGTTGGCGTTAGCTGGGTGGAGCCGACATTAAAATACATTATTCATTTCCCCTTTGATCCTGGTCTTCCACCCCACCCCCTGGATGTATATTCTACAGTGAGACACATCCATAGCCAAGAGTCATCAATCATGCTCTCCAGTAGTATTGTTGCGTGCCGACAGTTTTGGGCTGCCAAGGCGATTATCTAAGGCATTTAAGGAATGCACTGTTTTCCCCCACTCCCTTTCTGCTGGCAACTAAAAAGACTAAAGGAGTATTTTTTTTTTTTAGTTGACACATGGTTTCAACAGAAGGGAATATTTATAGTGGACCTCAAGTAAAATAACCAACTCAGAAAGCACCAAGGATCCCACGAAACATGGTTTCAGGGTTAATAGATGAACATAGGTTTAATATTAAGGCTGAACCTTTGTAGGTTCAAGTTCTTAGATAGCTTTTCCCAGTTGTTTACCACAAGGAGAAGCACAAAATTCCAAGGGTAAAATGTTGCCTTCTTCAATCAAAACAAAGAACAGCTTGGTTTCTCTACCTGACAGTTAAGGCCAGTCAAAGATAAGCTGTCACTTCCAGTACACTGGAATAGGATCATGTTTAAGAGTTTAGGAATCAAGAGTCCAACTTTTAATTCTTTGGTTGGTTGAATGGTAGTCTTTGCAGCCTCTTGAAACTTTTCTCTCTCATGTTCTCTATCTATCTATCTATCTATCTATCTATCTATCTATCTATCTATCAATCTATCTATCTATCTATCTATCCATCCATCCATCCATCCATCTAGTACTAGAAGTTCAAACACTTCTGTTGGCCTGTGTGGTGGATTTGGTAGGGCACAACAGAACAGATACTTTCCAGTATGTTTAACTCTCTTCTTACCCACTTGGTATTATTTTATGCCAGGGGTCTCCAAACTCCCAAAGCATGAAAAACTAATAAGTGACAAAAGAGATTAATGGGGTTTACAAACGGATGCTCCAAAAGATCTTATTGCGTGGCATAAAATGGGTCTCCAAACTTGGCACCTTTTAAGACTTGTGGACTTCAACTCCCAGAATTCCTCAGACAGCACTGTGTTTGAAGTGTTTGAGATGCTAGTGCTACCTCTATTCCAAGCTCAAAGAGTACCATAGTTCATTCATGCTTTTCCCTAATTCTTTTTGTCTAACCAGGTCTGCTGCTTCTTTATCCGATGTGCCCTACTCCTGCTTTTCCCAGACTCCATATCGTCACTTTTTACTTAAGGCAGGACTAGGAACAGCCCCAAGGTTCTAAATCCCAGATCCCTCTCTAGGTTCCTCCCACAGGGCAGATTGACGCATTTGAGAAGGAGTCGAATCCTGAACTCTGCTTCTCCAAGAGAGCTACAAATAATTAATTTCAGAAGAATAGCTACACTCCTTCCTTGGGCGGCCTTAAGAAATGGATCCTTAATCCTATTGTCCTGGTGATTACTATGGAAACCAACATCTGCTATTCATGGTCCTGGGTGAAAACAAGCCATCAACATCCTGCTCACCACAGTATTCACATTCCAAGTCTCCGTAGACCTTCCTGATCTTCTCGCACAAGGCAGTATTCATTTGTTGTTTCTGCAGGTTGTCCAAAATCTGCATAAAGGCCGCAGCTCCAGTTTGATCCTCTGAAGGTTGAGGACCAGACTCTGGATTCTGGTGAGACTCTACACTGGATTCTAGAAGGGGAAGGGAACTGGAGGTCTCGTTCTTTTCAAGGGTTGAGTGGTTGACTACCTGATGATCAAGACAAATGGACTGGCTCTCTTCTTGGGTGTCAGGAACACTCTCTGGACCTTGGCATTTCTGGTTCAATGTGGAGTTTTCGTCTCCCAAAAGTTGTTCAACGTCACACTGGGCGTTCACTGAAGAGTCAAGTGGCAGCTGGTCTTTGGCCAAACAGGTTTTTTCTCCATCTGGATCTGGTGGAGTGTTTTTCTGTAAAAAGCTATCTGACGCGTTGACCAAGCTAGCAGGTGGGGACAGCAATTCGGTGAGCGGCTCACACATGGGATCCGGTGTGTTTGGTGCTGCTGATGGGCTTTCAAAATCCAAAAGGAGAGCAGGAGGTGTCCCCAAACTCTCCGCTGGGTTATTATTTTCACAGCTTCCCTCAATGGCATTTCCTTCTCCCATGCAAATAGATTTTACTACGCAGAGTGCGTTGGAGTTTAGAAGCGACAGTTCAGCAGCCGTCTGGGACAGTTCCTCTCCAAGGGCTTCCTGTTGGATGTCTCCTCCGGGTTCCAGCAGGCAGAAGCTCTGATTGATGGAATTATTAAAAACGGACATCTCCGGCAATTCCCCGTGTGCGTCTTTGATGTGCGAGCGGAGCCTGATGGAGCTGACGAATTTCTTGGAGCACTCGCTGCAAATGTACACAAAAGGGTGCTTGCGGACGTGGAGCTCCAGAGCTTGGTACTTGGTGGCTCCGTGGCCGCAGAGCTCGCAAGCAAAGGGTCTCTGATCCCCGTGGACCAGCATGTGCCGGTCGCGATCCAGTTCGTTCTTGAACTTGCGTTCACAGATCTGGCAGTCGTACAAAAGTTGCCTCTTGCCTTCCCGGGTCATCAAGCGGAGCTGGTCGAAGACGTTCTTCACCTTTTTGTCCTGCAGGTCGTGGGCTTCCTTGATGTGCTTGATCAGGTTTTTGACATCCGAGTATTTTTTCTTGCAGAAGCGGCAGTGCTGCTTGATCTTCTTGTGGACCCTCTCCACGTGGACCTTAAGGTGGCCCTTGCTCAGGCAGGTGAAGGGACAGTAATCACAGGAGAACTTCTCTCCCGTGTGCTTCCGCAGGTGGACGTTCAGGTTGGCTTTGATGGCGCTGGCGTAGCTGCAGAAGGAGCACTTGTAGGGCTTCTCGTTGGTGTGGATCCTCAGGTGGGCCTGAAGGGAGTGCTTGAACTTGAACACCTTGTTGCAATACTCACAGGTGAAAATCTTCAGCTGAGTGGCTCCCAACCTAAGGAGAAAAAAAAAAGAATCATAAATCACGAAAGCAAACATGAGAATAACAGCCATTCCAATAGGCCAGGTTGGTCCTGAGCAATACTTCAAAAGAGCTCCTCACCAACAATCAACATCCAGGTAGCAATAGCATTTACTGCCCCATAGCATTTTATAGCACTTTCTGGATGGTTTACAATGTAAGCATTATTTACCTATTGCCCCCAACAATCTGGGTCCTCATTTTACCGACCTCAGAAGGATGGAAGCAGGGGTAGGATTCTACCGGTTCGGCCCGGTTTGGCCGAACCGGTAGCTCCGAAGATCATCTGGGAGTGAACCGATTTGCTCCGACAATCAGCTGCTGGGCCCACCTGCCCAGGCTCCACGCTGACCTTTATTTCCTGCTTTTGGCGCTCAGCTGCTTTGCGCGGCGCAGCAGATTGCCGCACGTCAGCTGTTGAAGAGACAGGGACAGTGCAGGAGAAGGTAAGTAGGAACGCACCTGTGCGTGTGCAAAGTGCGCCCTCCAAGCCACACCCACCGAACCGGTGGTAAAGCACTTTGAATCCTACCTCTGCATGGAAGGCTGAATCTACCTTGAGATCAGGATCGAACTCCAGACTTTGGGCAGAGTTTGCTTGCAATATTGCACGTTAACCACTGCACCACCCTGAACTCTTGGATAAGCAAAGATTAACAGTAGGATTAATATTTGACCAACAATCTAAACCAGGGGTCTCCAACCTTGGCGACTTTAAGTCTTGTGGACTTCAACTCCCAGAATTCCTCTGTCTGAGAAATTCTGGGAGTTGAAGTCCACAAGTCTGAAAGTTGCCAAGGTTGGAGACCCCTGATCTAAACAATACCCTAATCAAGAAATGACCAACTCAGGAAACCAAATTGAACAGTACACAACAACCTATTCAAGGAACTGTCAAGAATGTTTCCACCAATACTGACAAGGCAAGCCATTGTATTTAACCCCTACTCCTATCTAGCACTGATGGTGTCACCTAATTGGGTGATGAAATGTCTGAAAGGAAACAACCAAGCTCAGACAGTACCAAGGGTCCCACAATTCAGCCTTGAGCTACAAATATTCTCTTCCATGAGGACTACTCTTCCAGTCTACTCTGACCCATGCTTCCCAGCAGTGATGGAGGCTTGGGCTGAGAAACAGAAAAGAAACTAGGGGCCTATATCTACTGTTAGGTTTAACACAAGTTATGTTAAATTAGAGTGCTAATAATGTTAGCATTGCTATCATCCTTTAGAGTTAGGGACATGAAATTTCAGAATGTATTTTATAGTAAAGTTTCTCAAATATAATCCCTCACCGATGAAGCGCTGAAGGCTACATTTTCTTCAATAAATCTCCTTACTAGCTAAAACAGAAAGAGATATTCAGGGAATATGGAATGGATTCAAAGACAGAATAAACACAGTGATATTCTAATTAAATCCTCAGCCAGAATTCTGATTGAGAGCTTATATGATCATTCCTTGGATAAGTAAAAAGTGTTCTGGCTATCCAAAACTGGCATTTTGATGCCATGTGGTAGTGGCTGACTTACTCACTGCATTTTACTCTATTTTGTATTTCTTTTTTCCTTTGGATTCCTCATTGCTTTCTTCTTGCAGACTGTATCAGCAGAGATCATCTGTAGTGGAAGGTAGTTTGAAATTCCGTTTGGCTCCTTTCCAGAAGAGGCAAAGAGGCAGCGGAGCTTGTAATCTCTAGTAGGTAGAAATATAGCTAAGGTGGCCACTCCCTAGTAGCTTGGAATATATCTTACAGTTGTGCAAATAGTTGCTGTAGTCTGACAAGATCGATATCAGGCCCCAAGGATTCCTTCTGAGCAGTTTCTTTATTGTTGTTCGCCTACAGACAGAATCTTGCCAGAATAAAGGGACTATCTACATAACTACAGATACACTCTGTGAACTGCTGGAGAAGGGTCATCCTCGCCATCTTCCTGCTTACCAGACATTCCAACTACCGCTGCCTCTTTGCTCTCTAGGAAGTGGCCCCTCGTTCCTGGGACTCCAGAGTACACTCCACCACATCATACAGCTCCCTCAATTATGCTAATAGCTTCTTGAAATTAGGTCACCTGACAAGCACACAATTTTATATATGCCATTAGCTAAATAGGGAAAAAAACAACAATGCAATGTTCCAAATAACAGCCTAATTGCTACCTAACTTTTACCAAGAAAGCGGCAGCATTCCCTGAACGATGAAACATCCTTAGCATGAATTAAAAGCCCTGGAATTTTAAAAAGGATGCCTATAATACATTTAGCATCAACCCGGGTCTCCGAAGCATCTTTCCAAAAATGCCATGATTGCTCCTTCTCAGTAATTTAAGTTAGAGAAGGTTTCTTTCTGCCCGGAAGGCTGCCCTGTACTTAAGATTTGTAAATGGAGATTACCTGCTTGATTTCATTGGTTGCTCATAAGGAGTTTGCTGAATGGCATATTCCTGATAACCTCTTCGCTGAGATGAGTCTGCCACAGAGGTTTCTGAGTTGACGGGCGGCTCATTTTGGGGGGAAGCTGCTTCCACAGGGACTATCTTTGTGGCACCTGCAGCAAAAACAGAAATGCAATTCACCTAAAGGCCTCTGAAATACTACACAGGATAAGCAGAATGCAGGTAGTCCTCAATTTACCACGATTTGTTTAGTGACCATTTGAAATTGCCAGCAGCGTTGGAAAAAAAAAAAGCAACTGAGGAATAGTTGCTAGTCACAGTTGTGACCGTTGCAGCCTTAACCATGGTCACATGATCTGAATTTGGATCATAAGGCATTTTCACAAGCCATTTTATTGCTCTGGGCTCAAGCCTTGTTTATCTGACTGTTGTCTTGGCAATGGAGCTTCCTCCTAGCCTTTCAAGGCCATCCCCTATACCACTACTGTGGCCTCTCTACTCTAGTCATCATAAACAATTTTTGAAAGTTACCCTTTAGCATTCGAAGCTACACACCAGCTTCTGATAACAAACTCAAGATATTTATTGCAGTAATATATCTTACAACAAGGCGTACTAAAGCTCAAAGCTTACTTTAGAAAAAAGAGCCCAAAGGCCACAAATCCAGGGGTGGGATTCTAACGGTTTGGCCCAGTTCTACAGAACCGGCAGCTCCGAAGAGCAGCTGAGCCCGAACCGGTTCACTGCAATGATGGTCTGGTCGTCTGTTTGGTCTACCTACCCACCCAGGCTCTAGGTTGTCCTTTAGTCTCTGCGTTTTCCTTCCTCAGCTGCTTTGCGCAGCACAGCTGAGTGCCGTTCGTCGGCTGGAGCAGGGAATGTTTGTTGGACCCGGTTATTTGTAAGTAGTGTGCACGCGTATGCAATGTGCATGCGCACACAGTGCGCACGCGTGCGAAGCGAACTGGTAGTTATGCCAGTAGGATCCCACCCTTGCACAAATCTCAAGAGTGTCCAAATGCAAGCAATGTCCATTTCCAGTCCAAGATTCCCAGCCATCAAGAAGCATCTGGTCAGAGCCATGAGGAGGAAATTTGAACATTTATTGCCATCAGAAGCCCACTACCAAAGCCATCTCTTTTGTAAGTGGACATCAGCTTGGACAATAGGCTGAGAAAGATGAGTCTCCTCAAGAACGCTTCCTTTAGCTAATTCCTTTCGGGTACGAAAAAGCAGTGCCATATGTGAAGAGTTCAAACGACCTATCGGTACTTTATTGCTCAATGCCTGGCAGTTTGTATCTGGGCAGGACTAGTTGAGATTCACCGGTATTCAAGGGGAGGTTCGGACCTTGTCCTCTTTAGCCTATCTAATGATTCCAGACTAATCCCCAGCTCCAGTCCTCCACCAGCTTAACCAACATCTCCATATATACCGTATTTATCGGCGTATAACACGCACAGGCGTATAACACGCATTCCCTTTAATATGCGGCGGGCGCAGCGTCACGACGCTGCGCCGCCGCTAGGCACTATTGGGAACGGGACATCGGCGTATAACACGCATACATCATTTGCCCCCTATTTTCAGGGGGAAAAAGTGCGTGTTATACGCCGATAAATACGGTAAACTGAGATTCAAAGTCATCAACTCTTCAGCTTCTGAATCTGAAAAGCTAGATTGATCCCTAAACGTTCCCCTATAAATAGCCCTACTCTGAAACTAGAAGCAAATCTAACCTCGAGAGAAGGAAGAAACATCCGGTGGTAAGAAATGGCAAGCCAAGGAACGATTAAACATTGCTTCTTCTCATCCAATCATTCACCAATTCCATTTTTTGCTAGTTTCTCATCTCGGTATTATCACCCGAATTCTGAAATATCCCTACTGAGTTTTTGCGAGCAACTTTCTGTTTTTTGTTTTTAAAGAATAACACCGCTTTTGTGCAGCAGTAGATGAGCAATCTTGAGATGTGAACAATAGGGCTTCATATTTTAATTTCAACGTAAGAGCTTATCTACAAAGGCCATGGGGAAAAAACAGCAAAGAGAAATGAGTAGCAAACAATTAAGAAGACAACCTAAGAAAAAGAGAGTACCTGGAAAGAAAAAAGATAAAGCTAAAAGCTGACATTTAGAACAGAATGGGAAGCTGTTTGATAAACAATAATGAGTGCTTTTTCCCTCCATAGCTCATCTCATTTTTTCCCTTTATTGCCCATCAAGCAGTTTTACTCATTTTTATTTAGAGAAATAACATACATTTAAGTGTTACGTGTTAACAATGGAATATGGGGCAAATATGGAGAATGGCAAAAAAAAAAAAGTTTTGAAAAGACAGATTTTTAAAAAAAAAATCAGTGGAGGATAGAGGTAGCTCTCAGCTTACAACAACTTGCTTAATGAACATTCAAAGTGCCAGCCAGGGGCACGATTTGCCGGTTCTCTGAACTGTGCAGAATCATAACAACCGGTTCTATAGAACCGCTCTGAACCGGTAGAATCCCACTCCAGAAAATGGGGCAGAACTCAATAGAAGTCTCACTTAGCAACATAAAATTTTGGGCTCAATTGTGGTCGTAAATCAAGAACTACCCTGCCCTTGGTTGCTTGGAGACAAAGAAGTAGCAACTGGATGTTTTTAAGAAGAGATTGGACAACCATTTGTCTGAAATGGTATAGGACAGTGATAGCTAATCTTTTGGGCACCAAGTGCCCAAAGCGCACATGCACGCATCCCCAAAATGCAACATGCACGCACTTTTCATGTGTGAGCCCCGCCCCCTCGCGTGCATGTGTGCCCCATGTGCCCTCCCTGCACATGCAACCCCCATATGGGTACCCCCACACACATGCATGGCAGAGACACGAAGACCAGCTGGCCGGTGGGAGGCGCATATGCACAGAGAAATGGTGTTGTGGCAACTGCTTGTGTGCCCAGAGAGAGGGCTCTGTGTGCCACTTTTGGCGTGCGTGTCATAGGTTCGCCATCACTGGTATAGGGGCTTCTTGCTTAAGTAGAGGGTTGGACCAGAATACGTCCAAGGTCTCTTATAACTCTGTTATTCTGTGGGACGAGTTAAAAGGGACTATGGGTCTGGTAAAAAGGCATAGCTTTTGTTCTACAGATGCACAGATAGTTACATGTAGAAGAACACAGACCACAGAAAACATAAATGGAGAAATTACAGAAGCGTGAAATTAAAGGGATTATACACAAGAGAATAATGTTGCAACAGGAAGGATGCTGAGGTTGCATTTACAAGATTTAACATAACCAAACCATAAAACATAAAAACCACAAGATAAATTTTTTTTCTTCTGCTGTGTTCTTGAAGTTGTTCGTTTTTTTTCTCTCTTTTTCCAGGTCTCTTTTTGGAGGATGAACAAATCAGGCTACACCTACACGCGGGACTGCTACATAAAATGATAAAAGCCTGCAAGCATCACACTGCCGTACCCCCAAATGGGCAAACTTTCAAACTTGCCCCAGGGTACAACTCAAAGAAGGACCAATGCAACTAAATCGGTTTCACTCATACACTCAAACAAAGGTAGATTAGGTTATATCTTGAACTACAGTATGTGGTTAGAGACTTGTTACGTATCCATACATCTTTTTCTGAAGGTGAAGTCCTAACCTGTGTCTTAAATTACCCCAGGCTGTGGGGTAACACAAGGCTGCGCTGCCCACGTGGCCTGCGGGAACACAAGACTTGCATCGTTTGCATTGCAAACAAAACGAGGTAGTGAGGGGAGGGGGAAAAGGGTGGAGGGAAGGACTTGCCCCACTCACCCCATGCGCTGGCCTGGCCACCGGGCTGCTTCTTTCCACTTCTTTCTTCTTCTGCTTTTGGCTGCATGCAAGGAAAGCAGCAAAAGTCTTTCTTTCTCTCCCCCAAACTCCACCAGAAATGAGTCTTTGGGATCCTGCAAGTCCTCCCGCTCCAAGAGGCTGCGCTGGCAAAGACTCCTTTCTGGTGGAGTTTGGGGAAGAGAAAGAAAGACTTCTGCTGTTTCTGCTGCTTTCCTTGCATGAAGCCAAAAAATGTCTGTCTGTCTGTCTGTCCCTCTCCCCCCCCCCCCGACTTTTTTTGGGATTTTTCCAGGGTTTCTGGTCCACGGGATTTAAAATAAATTATGAGTTTGGTAGTCCCTGAGATCCAAAAGGTTGGCGACCCCTGACTTAAGCAATGTCTCTATGGGGCTAGAACTGGCCTGAAGGAAAACATTTCTTGTTCAAAAATCTGTTTTGAAATTGCTGGAAAAACAAAACAAACCAAAACGCATCAGTCCAAAAAGTTTAAAAACTATCACTGCCCCCAGGTCAAGTGAAGGACGATGACATTTTAATGTCATTGTATTGTGAAATGACACAGAAGAAGATAACATTGTGATAGATGTATTACAAATACAAAAATATTCAGCCTAGTTTTCATCATTATACACTGGCTGGGTAACTTTGGAAGCTAGTCACTCCTGCTCAGCCCAACCTACCTCACACGGCTATTGTAGGAGAAATAGGAAGGAGGAAAGACTGGTAGGTACATTTGCCGCCGTGAGTTATTTATAAAGTAACGAAGGTAGGATAAAAACCCAATAAACACACAAACAATACATTAACCACATGAAATGGTATTTATCAATCTTTCCATTGCATTCATGGAATAACAGTTGATTTAAAATATCCGTATCAATACAGGTAATCCTTGACTTAGGACCACAATAGCGCTCAAAATTTCGGTTGCTAAGTGGAACATTGGTTAGATAAGTTTTGCCCCATTTTAAGACCTTTCTTGTCATTAAGTAAATCACTGCGGTTGTTAAGTTAGTGACAAGGTTGTTCGGTGAACCTGGCTACTTTGTGGATTTTGCTGGTCTGAAGGTCGCAAAAGGTGATCATACGACCCCCCCCCCCTCCAGGACACTGCAACCGTCATAAACATGAGTCAGTTGCCAAGTGCCTGAATCAAGGGATCGTGGGGGATGCTGCAAGGGTCGTTAACAGGGGTTCGCTGCTGGGGGTTCGCAGGGGTTCGAGAGAGCCCCCAGCTAAGATTCTGTGCAGTTCGGAGAACCCCCCAAATCCCGCTCCTGGCTGGCCCCACCCACTCTGCTCCTCCCCTCCCAGGAGTCCCCACATGGCCCATTTTGGATGCAGGCAAGCGCAGGGTGCGCGTGGAGCCTCAGGGAGGGCGAAAAACAGGCCCCACGGAAGTTTGGGAAAAGAGCCTCCGGAACCCGGGGACAGTGAAAATGCCCCCTCCCCCGCCCTGGTGCAGGAGGTCGACTAGGCGATGCCCACCCAGCAACACAGAACCCCTTGCTAACATTTTTTTGAAGCCCACCCATGGTCGTTAACTGTGAAAAACAGTCAAAACTCACTCTTTTTAAGTGCTGTTGTAGCTTTGAACGGTTAGTAAATGAACTGTTGTAAGTCGAGCACTACCGGTAAGAGTTGATTAAATAGAAGTCCGTATCTATCATTCAAATCCAGAGTATTCCAATAGAATAGACAGGATAGCAGTCTTCCAATATTTGAGGGGCTGCCACAGGGAGGAAGGGGTTAATCTATTTTTTTAAAGCGCCTGTAGGCCAGACAAGGGATAATGGATGGAAACTGAACAAGGAGAGATTTAACCTGGAAATAAGGAGAAACTTTCTGACAGTGAGAACAATCAACCCATGGAACAGAAGTTGCCCTTGGAAGTTGTGGGAGCTTCATCACTGGAGGCTTTCAAGAAGAGACTGGACTGCCATTTGTCAGAAATGGTGTAGGGTCTCCCGCTTGGGCGGGGGGTTGGACTAGATGACCTACAAGGTCCCTTACAACTCTGATTATCTGTTATCTTTATTGGGCAAGTGTGGTTGGACATACAAGGAATTTGTCTTAGTGCAAATGCTCTCAGTGTACATAAAAGAAAAGATACATTCATCAAGAGTCAAGAATCATCAGGTACAACACTTAATGATAGTCATAGGGTACAATCAGCAATCAAATCATACTAGGAAACAGTCAATATAAATTGTAAGGATACAAGCAACAAAGTTACAGTCATATAGTCACAAGTGGGAGGGGATGGGTGATAAGGAGTGATGAGAAGGTTAACAGCAATAGTAGTGCAGACTTTGTAATTAGTTGAATACTGGAATGATGTTATTTTGTGCAGTCAAAAGGCAAAATTTGCACAACACTGAAAGGAAGGACTTGCTGTTAGCGTGAGACACCCCGTCCTTCCTTTCTGGCAAAAGTTTAAGTCCCTTCCTAGACCAGGTCACCCATGTAATTCCTATGCTCTGTGCAATTAACCTAAATGCACATGAGCCCATTAGTGGAAGTTAAGATGCTTCCTCTAAGAATTAAATGCTTATATGTGGGTCACCCATTCGGGCCCCTCAAACCCTTATTTTACAGCTGACAGTCGAGCTCCGAGGCTCAGCCATCTAGAATTCTGCATTATTTATAGGCAACTAAGTTTTTGTCATCCATAATTTCAATTTTTTTCCCCACTTTGCAAGTCTAATGAGCCGGGCAAGAAGCGAGCCCCTGTTTTTTTCCATGATTTGGCAAAATTCTTCTAGCTCTTGGATCAAAAGCTGTATATTTTATACTGAAATGCAACTATAGGGATGCAGATTCTTTCACATCCATAATTGCATAGTACATGAGGGGGGCCTATCTGTATCAACTTTATGGAAAGGTGAAAGAAATGTGTCATTGAACGAGATACCATATGGGCTAGTGGTTAAAGCACCAGGCTAGAAAATGGAAGGCCATCAATTCTACTCCCACCTTAGCCTTGAAAACCAATGGGTGACTTTGGGCCAGTTACTCTCTCTCAGCCCAACTCACCTCACAGGGTTGTTGTTGGGGGTAAAATTGGAGGAGGAAGATAGGTTGGATATGCTCCGTGCCTTGAGTTAATTGTAAAAACAATAAAGGAAGGAAGGAAGGAAAAAGAAAGAAAAAAGAAGGGAGGGAGGGAGGGAAGGAAGAGAGATAGAGAAAAGGGAAGGAAGTTTGAGAGAGAGAGGGGAGGGAAAGAAAAAAAGAAGGGAGGGAGGGAGGGGAAAGTGGGAGGGAGGGAAGGGAGATAGAGAAAAGGGAAGGAAGGTATAAGAAAGAAAGAAAGAAAGAAAGAAAGAAAGAAAGAAAGAAAGAAAG